ACTAGTGAAAGGTACTTAAAAAAACTTCCATAGGTTAATTAAAAAAATATCTACCTCCATAATAATAGGAAAGTCTTTTAAAATATGTTTAATACATAACGCAAGTTTATGACTTGTACACCCAACCCAAACACACAGTGGTACAACATCCTCGATGTAGGCTTTTATACCAGAGTTGACACTTGTTGTGTCCATACAAGCAAAGTGAGCATTTTTAAATGAGATATTATTAGCTCTAAAAATTTTTTGAGTAACATCAAAAACATTTGGAGCTGATAGACTAGAATCAGTGAGCTCACTTAAAGGAGCTAAAAACTTACTTACTTAAACGGAATGTAAAAGTTCTTTTATGATGCTGTTGTGTTCGATAGTGTCATGTATAGTTAACTGTTTAATCTAAGTAATATCAGTTTCATCTGGAAAAAAAAGAAAAACTCCCGCCATTTCTAAGTGACTGGAGTAAAGGATTTTTGACAAAATCAAAGATAATATTTATATACTTAGCAATATATTCCGGAGACACGTATGTTGCATTTGCTGGGCTTGACAAAACGTGTGCCTTAACTTCCTTACAACCGCACGCAGCAATAAGTTCAATAATGTCTGAAAAATTATGAGTATGTGCCCAGTTTTTCATGATTAACAAATGAGTGACTCGAAAGAAAGTTTTAATATTGAAGCGAGAGTTACTTGTTTTTAATGTTTCTTTTGCAAGGGTATTTTCACGCAGCATTTTTTAGATATTTCATCAAAAGCATGTTTATTTTTTAAAACTGTGGTATGGTTGTTAGACGCTTCCAGGGGTGATCTGTAAATTTGCTAGGGTTTTCAATAAATGACGATTACTTTTTTTTCCAGGGGCAAACGATATGCAAACTTTACAAAATTAACCTTGTTTTGATGACGAATAAACAAAATAGGGAAATAACACCTCATACTTTTTTGTTGTTTTAAGTCGTAGGTCTTCTACAATTTTGTTTGGTATTTGTGCTGGTTTGACTTTCTTTTTTTTTCTTTTTCCAAGAACTGAAGGTAAACTGAAGGTATACATTGTTTTTGCTTACTGCTGATTTAGGCTGATGAGGAGTTTGGTATACTACTAATGTAGAATGATGAGGACTTTCACTTACTGCTGATATAGACTGAGTAGGACTTTGCCTCACATTCAAGAATATTAAGGTCTTTGAAGAGAAACGTTTTTCTATAGAATGTTAAAAATTAAAAGGTTTTTGTTGTTAAAAATGTCAATGTCTTTTGAATGAAATTTTTTTTATTGAATAGTATTTCGATCGAATAAAAAGTTAGCGATTAGAACTTTCACTGTTTCATGGTATTTTAGAATTAAATTCAATAATCAACTACGGCTGGGGGAGATCAGTTGACTGCACAAGGAAATATTTAGCGATAAATTTCTCTAAGTTGTAACTTTAGTTGTGTAAATTAATGAAAATTGATTTTTGTATTTGTAAATTTTGTTTTACAAAATTAAACTTCTTTTATTTTTTTATTAAAATTTTTGATTTGTAAATTTAAAAAAAATTTGTAAAAATTGCAAATACTTTGAAACATTTATAAACACAAATGGTTTATTAACTTAATATTAAAATGCTTACACTAAAATGTGTCACAAGCAAATTTATTTTACTAACAGTATTTTTAAATAAGGGTCATCCATAAAGTACATACTCCAAAAATTTTGAAATTTGACCCCCTCCCTCCCCCCTGCTGCCATGCCTACTTCCCCCCCTAAAAAAGTACGTACGTTTTTGAAATACCCCCTCCCCTAAACTTTTTTTTTCAATGAAAAAGTTTATGGGAAAAAAAAAATGTGGAGGAGGTACCTTAGATACTTTATACAACTCAAAAGCTCTTCGTTTGCCTCACAGGATCCCAATTTAAAAAACGTCTTCAAATATATAAATATTAATTTTAATAAAGTTAAATTGGTTGAGTAGTGGTTATTGAGTTGTTAGTGAGTTGAGTAGTTAAATTGGTTGAGTATGCTGTGGACTGCGGCGACTGAGGCCGGTGTTCGATCCTTGGTCGAGCACATACTGTACTATAAAAATAAACTATACTTAAGGCTGACGTTTTTTTCAGGCACCCCTATTTAGTAAGTCCATAAAAAACGAGTCCTACGCGAGATCAGTAATATCAATAACAAAACCTAAAACCCAGTGCTGAGATTAGTCTACCTGTATCCCTTAATTTGAAAGGGGGGGGGGGGTAAAGGGCAGAAAATTTTGTGCTCTTTTGCTAATTTAAGGAGCTTTTAGCAAAACCTAGTGGTAAAATTTTGGAGATTTTGAGACCCAAATGACATGTTTTTTATGGGGCCTTTGACCCATTAGCCACGGCACTGCTTAAACCTGTTTTTAGTTGACTCAAAAAAGAGGTTGCCTGAAATACGCCTTACTCAGGGCCAGTATATAAGGGGTGGCATATGTACGTAGGTGCCCGCAGGATTTTTTGATGTTCTAGATAGGACACTTTCACACATTTAGCATACTTGAGTTTGGAGCTTGCATACTTGAGTTTGGAGCTTGCACTTGAGTTTGGAGCTTGCACTTGAGTTTGGAGTTTGCACAAGTTCCAAACATAAGTATGCCTATGCCAAATGTGTAAAACTTGTGAAAACTCTAAAACTTTAGTATAACTATGCCAAATGAGAAGACCTTACAAAAAATTGGGATGGCGGAGGCTTGGAAATAAAAAAGCCCTAAAAAGCTTGCTCCCCTGCCCAAGCGTGAGGGCACTACTGTAGTAAAATTTAAACTTTATCATCTAAAACTAAATTTAAATTTATTGACAGATTTTAAATTTTGTAGAAATATATTGTAAATTACAAAAGCTATGACCATACAAAATTTATACCCCGCCTCCTTTTTTTAGGGGGGGGGGCGTTTAGGGCTTTTTTGCTCCCAGGCCTCCGCCTTCTTAATTTTTTGTAAAACCTCCCCATTTGGCATAGGTATAAACATGCTTAAGTTTGGATTTTTAACTTTAGAGTTTGCACAATGTGTGAAAGCGTCTGTAACATCAAAAAAATTCTGCGGGCACCCATGCATGTGTGTACATTGAGGGAAACTATACCCTCTAGTCCCTATACCAAACATCTTTTTATGTTGGCAAACATAAGCTCTTTAGTCAGAATTTTAACTTTTCTATTGATTAGTTGATTAATTGTGATAAGTAAGGAAATTGATGTACGTACTTTTAAATTGAACCTTTCCCTCCCCCTTCCCCCTCCCCTCCCCATATTAATTCATATGCTTTTTGAAGACCTTTCCCTTTACCTTATGAGCGTATGTACTTTATGGATGACCCTTGACCTTAATAAATAACTTTTTTTTATCTTTTTTTAAAAGTAATTTTGAAATGACATTAACTTCCACAAAATTAATTTTTTGAATAATTACTATGATAAAAACCTTTGTTACTTTTTTAACTAAAGATAAACAACATTTGTTGGTTTAAAATTTTTTATTGTAAACGACAATTGTTATTGTTATTGTAATAAAAATTGTTATTGTTAAAAAATAAAGTTTTTATTTTATTTTTGAATGAATGACTTGCTACGTTTTTTTTCTTGTAAAGAAAACAATTGTTCTCAATTGACTAAATTATTTTCTTCGTTTCATGCACTTTTTTATTTTCTTTGTTTCATAGTATTTCTACGAGTCTTGCATAACACTTTAAATCTAAGCGTATTAATAACTATTAATTTTGCTACAATTTGTTTGGTGGACATTACGGTTTATATTTGTATTTTGGATCATTACGGGACAGAAATTGATTAGTAGTTAGGTTAATAATATTATTAATTTGTTTTTAGTTAGCTTATAGTTGTTAAATAGTTATACGTTTAAGTTGTTTAAAATTTTTGTTTATATGATAATGTTTATTATTAACATATTGAAAAAATTAAAATTAAAATTGATAAAAAAATATATATAATATTATGAAATACATAATAGCAAATTTCTCATTATTATATCGTATCCAAAACCTAAGGAACTGCTAAATTAAAGAACCGAAATTATATATATATATAAGTGCCGCCACGAAAATAAGTTCTTATTAAAAAATTACAAAGCTCACTACAAACATAACTAACAACTAAAAATAACTATATTAATCTACTCCATATATCTTTAGGTTAACTAATAAATTGCTTACATACACAGCTATTGTAATATACTTCATATTATATATATATAATATAATATATATTTTATATCAACTTTAAAAGATGTCCCTGTTTTTTGGAAAAGTTCCTAGTTATATACAATTAAATTTTTGTCCATATAACAAACTAAATAAAGGCTAGTTACCACGCTTAAAGTTCGGCATTCAGCAATGCTGGTTAAAAAAGTTAGATCGGCATTCAGTAATGCTGACCTAAATGCTGACCTAGAAGTGTTTGAGATTGGCAAAAAATTGCCGACCTCGTTTCTATGTTTTATGGTAAGACCTTCGTATCAAATATTTTTGCCAACATTATGTCGACCTCTAAAAGATTAAGGTAATATACAGAGTTAATAATAAATGGTTTGTTTATTAGTATCTGTTTTCTTACTGGTTCAATTCTGTTGTACTTTCATTTTGTTAATCACTTAGCTTACCCAAGCTTTTTATAGGTGGTAAACCTGTTTTACCATTTAAATGTGCATATCAGGTTTAAAGATGTCTTATTTGAAGGGCGTATTTGTGTTGTACCTTTTTTTTTTACCTACCTTATACAATCATTACGTAGTTATTTTTTTCAACCATAAAAAATTAAGTGGAAACTGATTTTTTCTAAGATAGAAGCAAAACAAAAGACTTATAACATTATCAAAGGATCCATTTCCAAATCTTTTAAAATTGAGAATTTTAAAATGAGACATTTATAAAAAGTAATCAATGATTTTTCATAAATAGAATCTACTTAATAAATGGGCGCTGTACTACCACTACCCTACCGTATATAATATATGTATGAATAACTTTTTTTCTAGTAAACACTAGTTGCGAAACACTATCAAGTATTCAACCTCTTCTTTTGACAATATCTATTGGGGTAGCACTATCTGTATTTGTCGCATTTATAGCTTCCTATGTCAGCTGTAGTTCGCTGTGTAATACAGAACAGGTCTTTTTTTAATTTTTAATTTTTTTTTGTCTACCGTAACAATTTTGATTATCTACACAATTTTTCTTTCCAGGTTTATCCCGGTATGGTTGTTGTTCAACAGCCTTCTAACATGGTCGTTATGGCGAATACTCAGTTCAATCAGGTTCCACAAGCACCTTATTACAACCAGCAAATTCCTTACGGAGGCCTGCCTCCCGCTTACTCCTCAGTACCTGTGACTTCCTACGATCACAATCCTACCCATGATAAAGCTGCATTGATTGATGATGGAGTTTTCTAATTCTAATTGTCTAATTAAAAATATTTGTGAATTATATTGTTATTTTAATATTGATTGGAACTGAGTTGCATATTTATTGTAACTCCAACATTTTTTGATGATTTTTTTTTAAATTTTACTTTTCATTACTTAAAGTTTTGTTAGTGTGTAAATAAAGTTGTGTTAATTGCAAAATATTCAAATCAAAGTATGGTTCAATATAATCTCATATACATAAAATTTAATCTGGAAAATTTTTTTAAATATAATCTTTATTTTTTTTTAATTTATAGTTTATATTTTTAACACATTTAAACATTTTTTAGTAAGTACACGTTTATTTTAGTAAGTACACTTTTTAGTCAAAATTTTTGATTTTTAAAACTTTTTATTAGGTTTGTTTTTAAAATAAAAGAATTATTTTCTTTATTAGATTTGTGATTTATATTTTTGTAATATATATTTTCAAAACGTCTAAAATTAGCAATTAAAAATTTTTATTTTTATTTTTACAAATATTCGATTTTTCACAATACTTTCCTAGTTTCTAAAAAAATAATTTAGATAAAACCACACGCACAATGATTTTGTAAAATAAATTTTTCTTTTACTTAGTATATCACTAAAAAGTTGTTGAAAGCCTACTAAATATTAGAGGAGAATTATGAGTGGAGTATTGCAAAACTGTGAGAGTAGTGTTGTCGTCTAAGTAAATATTAGAGGAGAATTATGAGTGAAGTTTCACAAATCTGTGAGAGTAGTGTTGTTGTCGAGCACTAGCTTTGTTATCGAGAATTACAGATTTCGATTCCCGCAACGCGCAGTGGGCCAAAATTATTACTGGACTTAAGAAATAACTTTAAATATTTATCAGGTTTGCCCTATAATTACTCGGTTGAGTATATTTCATACTACGGATCTAGTGGTAACATTAAGTTGTTTATTTGGTTGCTATTTATACCTATACTCCATAACAACACTTCATTTTGCATAGTTAGCTAAATTAAGAAACTTTCTTAAATCGTTTAATTCATAAACTAAATTGATAATGCTACAATCCCATTTTATGTATTTGACTGATAACACAAACATAATAATGCTAATTTTTGGTGTTGCTATGAAGTTTTAGACTCTTAGAAAACAGTTATTTGATTCTTTTTTGAAACTTGTTTACTTTAAATTTTCTATAAAAGAATGAGATAAAAACTTAACAATCTTAACTCTATGGGTTTATAGGAACAGTTAATTAAGTATTGTTTATATCTATATAGTTAAATACACGGATTTATTGTCTCAGTTCTGTTCCGCAAATTATCTCAAAATTGTTTAAAAAAGTAAACCTTTCTAGAATTTGAGAAAAAATTTGAGAAGCAGAATATGACATTGATATTACTTTAATATAAAATCTTTGATTTTATATTCAAGTAATATCCATATGTCAAATTTTTGTAACGCTAAATATCTTTCCTAGCCAAATTTATCACTAACTTTTTATTTAAAATTAAATATTTATCTTACTAAACGATTTAAAGATAATTTACGGAACAAAACTGAGACTATAAACCCGTGTATTATCTTTAACAACCAAATAAAAATCAATACGCTTTCATACAATTAGAGCAAAAAGAATACTTGAAGTTCTTTAAGTTTAAATAAAAATTTTAGAAATTCTTAAAGTTTTTATTTCAAACCAACTCTATTACTCTTTTATAAACAATCGTATAAATTATGTAATCAATCGTAAAAATTATGCAATCATTGCCTGAGAAAAGTAAATTACGAAATCTTTATCGCCGTCAGAAACATTCAATCCTTGTTGTTAATTAAGCGAATCGCTTTTCACATTCAAAACACTTTTAAGATTATATGAAGGTCCTAGATGTGTTTAAACTTAACATATTTAATGTTTAATGTTTTACTTTTATTTGGAAAAACGAGTGATCTTTATTTGTTTTTAAAGTGGTTGTACAGTAATTAGAAAAAAAATTTGCATTCAACTTTAACAAATGATTTTTTGTTTTCTCAAATTTTATAATATACAATAAGAAAGCTAAAGAAATTATTAAAAAAAAATTATTAATTATTTATTAATCATTAAATGTCAAAAATTGGGGTAAAGGACAATGATGATTTTTTTGCAACCGTTTATAATTTATGATTGAAATTTTGGCTGATGAAATATTATGTATCTTATTGTGTCGTGGACTAAAAGATTTAAGTTAGGTCTAAAGCTCAAAAAAATATATGCATTTTTGTAAGTTTGAGCAAAAAAGGGGTCATTTAAGGGCACAAAACCGTTAAAAAAATACTAAACAAGAAAAGCAGTAAAGATTATTTTAGTGTACATTGTAAATAAATAATAATATATACAAATCAAGCGGGAAAATTTTCAAATCAATTTGATAATTAGTTTTGAAAATATCTCCGTCGCCATTTTTCCTTTCACTCATATAAATCGGGCAACTTCTAAGACCTTATAGTCACTAGTAAATTTGATACAAATGTTAAAAAAAATTATTATTTTTTTAAAATAATTGATATTTTCCGAATTTTGTAGTAGACAATCTATACCCTGTATGAAATTTGCTCTGTAGTTGTTTAAGTTTTGAGTGTGAAAAGTAAGTTGTTTTTGGTTAACTACTCCAATAGAAACAACAAGCTTCTTAGGGTCAAAATTGTTAAACGTTATTTTTGCATCAATTGTAGTTGATAAAACTTTTCTTTTTGTTATAGGTGAGGTGGATTGTACAATGCATCATTTTTCTTTGCTTAGCTAACTTTGTACAAGGATGTTTAATACCTTTTCTTATTTGTTGAAAACTTTCTGCTAAGAAAAAAGATTTTGATTGATTGTTTAAAGATTCAAATTAGTGATTATGATCTATATCTGTGCTAGTTTCACATGATACCATTAGTGGAAGAATTTCTATTTCAGTACCAATTTTACGCTCATTAACAGGAGAAAACACTCACATTTCCCACCTAGAACAATTTTAGTATTAAGATCTAAAAGTTTTAAAAGAAGTTATTTTTCAGTATAAAAGCGGTTGGAAAAAAAATACAAAAATTCAAATAAAAAAAGTAAACAATAAAACTAAAATATTCAATCCTCGTGTTAACCAAACAGGTGAATATAAATGGCCATTAGGAACGACACTAATATGTGGAGACTCTATTTTGATGAGGATCGACGAAAAAAAAGCTTGGAAAAGTATGAGTAAGAGTGTTTAGCGGTGCTAAACACTCTTACTCATACTTGAAGACATGTTTTTTAACCTAGTTCTACTTTTGATAAAAAAAACCTTCAAAAATTATCCTGTATATTGGAACAAATAATTGTACAAATGATTTGTCTGAATCTACTTTGGCAAAATTAAAAGGTCTTGTTTTGTTCATTTCAAAATTTAATCCTTTTTGTTCAATAGTCTTATCTAAACCAATTCGTCGTTTCGATAATGCTAAAGCTCAGCTAACGTCGCTACACTTAGCCGAAAAATTAAAACAAACTAAATTTAATATTATTAATAACTCTAATTTGTCTAAAGAACACCTTGGGCTACATGGTCCTCACCTAAACACACGAGGATCAGGTAGACTAGCAATGAACTTTATTGCATATCTGAAGTCTATTTGATAGACATTCCCTTACAGATTTTTATCAATAATCTACCTTACCAAGTACTATTGAGGATATTTTTGGGATATTTGGCCCTTAGATTATCCAAATCAGAATTTAGACCAGGGTTGGCACCCAAAAACCCAAACCCAAAAACCCACTCAAAAACCCAAGAGCAAAACCCACCAAAAACCCAACTTAATGGGTTTTTGGTCTTAAATTTTATATTTGTAATTATTGTATTCATAAATTAATTTCCATTTATACTCAAGATTTGATGCTGCTCAAAAATTGTTCTAAAAATAAGAAGTTTAGTGAATCATAAATGAGAATTTATTTTATTTGGAGCAGTAATATTCAAATTTAAAGGCTTAAAACAAAGTTATCTAACAATTTAGTCATCCGCATCTGTGCATTTTGACTTTAATGTATGTAAATTCGTACAAGCATTTTTGCTTTTTCTCTCCCCAAAAGATTCCTCATTTTGCTCCAAATAATGCTAAAGGATGAGAAAATTTTAGTCTTTTAATGGACTAGCTGGGCAAATGTGCAACTGTCGTTATAATCTTGCAAAACTTGCAGGCAATTTGGAAAACTTTTCTTTATTTCTATAATTCTCCACCAATTTGTTCCTGATTTTGTGCTTTTTACACTATCATGGAATAAATATGTTGGGTAACAAATCTTTTTTTAGTTTAAATGTTTAGTAGCCTGGCATAAATTCACGATAGCCTTCATTCAACAATTCCTCAGCTTTTTCTTCTTAACTTCTATCCAATGTTTTTTCTAAGTAAATCAGTTATAAAAGTAGTTAACTTTTTTTATCTGTATTTATTTTAATTTGACCAGATGCAATTTTTTAATTTTTTTTACAAATTACCAATTATCTTTATTATTTTTAGATATATTTTGGATCTGTTAAATTGGCCAGAAAATGATATGAAACCATTGCTTTTTGAAAACTTCTTTAAAATATCATTTTTGTATTGCCTTGGATACTATGAGCAATTATGAAATCATTACTGTACTCTAATCATTTTGAATTAGGGTAACATCACTATCATCATCAAGATCATCTTTCATTATATTGAATACTTCTTCATTTACTTTTACTAAGAGTTCTGAAGATATCTGTTCTCCATTTGGGGGCTTGCACTCAGGTCTAAATATTTTAGGCAAATTCCTTTGTTTTTTATAACCACTTAATATGGTTAGCCATCAAGTATAGCCAACCATATTAATTGGTCTTTTTCTTTTTGCATTTCAGATCAAGTTCAGTCAGCCATTAAAAAGTATGTTGACCATCCTAGTATGACAAACATTGCAAATAAATTCAAAATGAATGCACATAATTTCAAGTTCCATTGTATTACACCTGATGATATTACAAAAATTATAGGGCCTATGAACAAAAAATAAAAAAAAAAAGTGGTGAAATACCAACTTTTATGTTAAAATCTTACTTAATACACTTTAGGGATAGTCTTACATATTGTTTCAATAATAGCATCTTAGATG